GCAACAGTGAGGCAGGCAGCCTCACTTACCTTCACTATAGGCCTCTTCTTAAAGCTTGCCTATCCCCAAGTGGCCCATGTCCCCTTGGCCAGACCCATGCAAATATCACAGCAGGCTGGGCAGGACATCTGTGACCTGATGCTTAAAGGGAGGTGGCCACCAGGGCTCCTAGGTTTCAGTGCTTCAGGCTGGCATGCAGGCTGTCAAGTCTTGAGCCGATCATAGGGAGGTAATGTTGGAACGCTTTATAAGGATAGGTTTCAGTGCTGTACTGTGCCACCCTAGGGCTTTCAAAGCAAGAGAGAGCTTGCCCTGAGCCCTGGTCCCCCTGACTGCCCACTGATGCTTTAACTCACTGTGGTCCTTGAGTTCCATAGGAGGTAACACCCTGTGGGACTCTGATGAAGATGTAACCAAGTGGTGGGAAATGATGCAGTTACAAGTCCCTGTCCTCGGGGCTGGGGAAACATGACCAGGTGTGCATGCCCCAACTGCCACACCAGGCCTGAGGCACCACAGGCTATGCCCATCCCTCCTCAGTGCGGGCTACATGCACCTCCAGCAGCGGCTCAGGAACCTAGATATCCAGGCCTTACCTATTCTGTGGCCTCACCTCTTCTGTCCCAGCCCCATTCCCAGGTACCTGCCTCCCAGTGTCACCTGCCTTGGCACACACAGTTCCCTGTGCAAGGAGTGTCTTCCTATCAGTCCTCAAGGTCCAAGCTCTCAGAGTCCAGACATTGTCGTACTTGTCCTCTCCCATAGAGCCTCTCTGAAGTGTTCCCAGCACCTGGGCACCCTAAGCCTGGGATGGGTTAGCCTTGGCAGTAAACAAGCCAAGCAGAAGGGGGCTTGCTCCCTGCAGCCTTAGCCCTTCACACAGGGCCCTATGGCACTTTAACAACCTCCCTGCCTGACTGATCAGTTCCCAGGATAGACAACTTATTATTTTTCCTCTCCTTAAAAGCTTGCCTATCCCCAAGTGACCCATGTCCCCTTGGCTAAGAACATCAGCTTCAGATCCAGCTGCAGATCCCAGGGGGCTGATGCTGCTGTCTGCAACCCTCAGGTCCTGCCTGGGGAATGCCAGGTGGGGGAGGGCAGCCTGGAGCGCGCACACACACACACAGCTTTCCCTTCCTGCCCACAGCACAGGGTGCCAGGCATAGAGCACCAAGCACAGCACACCAGGCCCGAGTCAGACAGACCTCACTGGGTTTCCGCAGCAGTTCTCCAAGTCAAGGGCTGTTGTTTTATAGGTTGGAATCACTTTTTAGAAACCACACACACACACACACACACACACACACACACACACACACACAGCTTTCCCTTCCCGCCCACAGCACAGGGTGCCAGGCAGGGAGCACCAAGCACAGCACACCAGGCCCGAGTCAGACAGACCTCACTGGGTTTCCGCAGCAGTTCTCCAAGTCAAGGGCTGTTGTTTTATAGGTTGGTAAACAAAGCTTGCAAAGGTTAGGGAGCCTGCCAAGGTGCACAGCTAGACCCCACAACACCCGACCCCAGGCACACCCCAACTCTGTGCTGCTCCTTGAGGGTTTGATGGCTGTCCAGACTCCAGGAGAGCCAAGCCTTTGAGCTGTCTTTGGCTTGGGATCAGCCTGGTGCCTCTGGCTGTGAAATTCCAGGCCCAGCTGGCTGAGCCAACACATGGAGGAGGTACTGCCAGCCTGCTGTTCTGTGAGGCCAGGGTCATTTCACTGAGATCCCAGGCTCTCTTATGGGAAGCCTTCCCACCTATGACTGGGTGAGGCACCAGGCATGGCACTCTCCCAGCTCCATCTGCATAGGAAATACCTACCTACCATCTCTAGGTTTATTTGTTCAGTGGCCCATTAGGCCTTGCACTGCACCAAGTCTGAAAATTCATAAACTCAACTGGCTGGTGACCCAGGGAAGGGTATCACTGCTGTGCCCATCTCACAGATAAGAAAACTGAGTCACAACACGCTCAGGAGAATTATGGGTCTCTCTGTAGAAAGTGGCAGAGTTGGGACACCCCCCTGAGCAGTCAGACATGGGGAGCAGAGCTGGGTTTGGTTCTGATTGTGTCCACTCTGTGTTGACTGGACTAATGCACAGTTGTGCATGTGTGGATATTGATTTTTGTTGGAAGATTCTGGAACTATGCACTGTACAACTTCTGTCTTCTGGTATGCCTTGGTCATTCACTTTCCTCATTCTGGACCTCAGTTTCCCCAGCTGTTCCATGGCAGTTGTGTTGTGACTGTCCAGAGGCAGTGCATGGTCCTCATTCAGGCTCAGCCAATCTCTCATGCAGGACTGCTGGTGATAGGAACCCTGAGACCAGCCTCCCAACCCCAGGGACTCTTATTTCCCAGCCTCCTTTTCCTCTCCTGGGAGGCCTGACAGGCACCTGGCCCTGATGGCTTTGCTCTGCATCAGGCACCTCTGGGGACTTCAGATTCCCGTTCCGTTTGTTTTTGAAAATTAACAACAACATAAAAAAGCCCAACAGCTGAGTCGGCTGAGCCCCAGCCCTCAGAGCTTGGATCAGGCCTGGCATGGGGGTGGGGCTGTCAAGAAACCCCAAACAAACAGAGCTGCTTCCCAGCCCAGCCATGTGGGAAGCTGATGGGAGCTTGGGCCCTCTCTGACTCAGAGTGATTCATCTGAGAGTGGAGCTGACTTAAAGGGCCAGGCCTGGTGGACCTCAGGGTCCCCTGTCCTGGGCCAGGGCTAAGTCTACCATCCCAGGAGTGACTGTCATCCCCAACCTCAGCTTCCTAGGCTATAAAATGGGTCGTGGCTGCTGCTCTGAGGTGGTAGATTCAAGCGAAGTGGCCAGGCTGAGCAAGTTCCAGCTTTGTGGGGTGGCTGGGGACTTTACTGGATGCTGCCTGCCAGGTGGCTCAGCAGAGCATTCTCATCCTGCCTCCCTTCTCCCAGGATGCTTGCTGGGCCTCCTGTCCCTGCTGGTCACTGCTGGGCTGTGGGGTAAACCAGACATGTCTCTGAACCAAGGAGTTGGTGTGGGGCACAGGGGCTGTATGCAACATCTCTTTGATGAGTCTGTGGCTCTGAGTTCCTTGGGCCAAGAAGCAGACTGAGCCCCAGCGCACCATCCCAGGCCCCTACTCCAGGCCTTGCTCTTCCTCTGGTTACCCACCAGGCAAAGTCCTAGCAGGCTCTGCCCCTCAGAGGGTCAGGTCATCACTCCAGAGTTATGGGTAGCCTAAGAGCTCCGTGGAGCACCACACTGAGGCCTCTGACCAGCTTAAGCCTCCAAGTTGGAGCCCAAGCAGCCTGGGGATACAGGGACCAGGCTCTGTCCCAGCTCTGCTGCTGCCCACAGTGGGCCTGGCAAGCCAGGTGACCAGAGCCTGGGGAGAGTTCTATGGCTTCTGGAAGCTCTGAGCCCTGGGCAGAGGCCCGTAGTGAAGCAAGCGGGGAGGCCTGTTCTCTTACATGCTATCATGAGTACTGTGGGGCTCTTCCCTTGCCCATCACAGTCACACTGGGCTCATGTCCCAACCTGGCCAAACAATCTCTCTGACCACTTCTTGCCATACTAAGGGTCAGTAGGTGGCAAGTTCCTGTGCAGCTTCTGCCCAGGACCCCTTTGCACAACCTACCTTACCCCGGGCTTCCCTCTGCCCCAGCCCTGTCCACGATTCACTGTCCCTCACAGCCAGTGGACACCATGTCCTCAGCACCTGGCAGGGCTGGACACACAAAGGGGGGAGAGATGTGATTGGGTCACCTGCTCATGAGGCCAGGGATAGGGCTTGTCCCATGGGCCTCAGTTTCCCTACCTTTACACTGGAAGTGCCATTTCCCCCCAGGCTGCCACCCTGGGAGTCAAGGACATTACAGGGCTGTGTGTAGACAGCACTGGCACACAAGTGTTTCAGAACATAGGCTACATCCTGTGTCCCTCTTGAGGCTGAGTGTTGTGGACATGTTTTCTCAGTCCCATTTGACAGTGTGGAAAACCAGGTTTTCACGAGGCAGATACCCAGCCCCACTTACTGTTAGGCCCTCACATCACCAAGTGCAAGGGTAGGCGGAGGCTCCATGGGACAGGGAGGGTCACAGTTTACAAGTTACGTTCACATCAGTTCACACAGATTCCATGAGGGGTCACCTTCAGTCCCACTTTTCAGAGGGGAAGTCAAGGCCCAGAGAGGATAAGTTACTTGTCAGAGGTTACACAGCTGGAAGGCAGACATACCTAGCTGAACCCCATCCTGTGCAGCTCGAAGCCCAGAGCTCACACCAAAGCCCAGGAATCCCTCATAAGCAGCACCAAGCAGCTAGTGTCAGAGGCGGAGACTTCAAAGTCTCAGTATGCTACCCACATACCCCAGGCCTGTGGTCCCAGCAAGCTGCGGCCCTACTGCTGATAGTGGCAGAAATCTGAGCCAGTGAGGAAGGCTCTGGGGGACGTTCGTGAACTGCCTGACGCATGGGTCTGAGCTACAGCCAAGTCAGAGGAAGGCGGGTGCTCTGTCCACTCAGGAATCTGCAACCCAGCCAGTGAGGAGGGGCCTCACAGAGGCCAACTGGCAGAAGTGAGGAGGGAAGACTCCAAGGGCTTCCATTGCACCCTTATCTGTCAGTACCCTGGTCCCCAAGCAGAGAGAGGCAGATGGTTCCCTCTGTAAGATGCTGCTGTAACATGGGAATGGATAAGGGCCCAGGGGTGCTGCCCCAACATTAGTGCTATGTGGCCTAAAGCAAAGATCTGAATCTCTCTGAGCCTACTGTCCAACCCTAAAGGGTCCAGTGGGTTACCATGCAGAAGCTCAGCTCCCAGAAAACCTAGTTAGCCACTTTCGAGTACAGGGGGCCACCATTCCAAATATCTGGGTGTCACTGTACTCCTGAGGGCCTGGGATTCAGCACATGCCAAGGCTGACCCTGAACCCAGTCAAGAGTCTCAGGCAGGGCCTCGTCCTCTCTGGGCCTGGTCAGGTCTCGCTGACAACCCCTGGTTCTTGCTGCCAGCGCAGGTCTCCACCAGCTGACCAGCCCACGATACAAGTTCAACTTCATCGCTGACGTGGTGGAGAAGATCGCACCGGCTGTGGTCCACATAGAACTCTTCTTGAGGTATGTGGGTACCCGTGTTGCCCCGTGAATTCCCAGTGTTCCCGGCAGCCGTGTCTGCTGGGGCTCAAACTAGACTGGATTCCAGCAGCCTGAGACATAGCTACCAGGTGTGGGGCGAAGGAGGTTACAGGCAGCTTAGAAAACTGGGGGCTCTGGGGACTCAAGCTAAATCTGGAATGGCTCCCAGGAGTAAGAAGATTAGCAGGTGACAGCCCCTCTGCAATCAAGGTGCCAACTGGACAGGACCAGCGTGGCTGGAGCAGGCATGAAAGGGGGGGGGGGGGGGGGGAAATATGCAGAAGGGGGGGGAGGAGGGACGGGGCAGGGGGAGGGAAAGGGAGGTGGTGCTGTAG